TTTTTTCCCTTGTCGGACAAGCATCGACACCCCGTCATCCGCTTTTGATTTTCCAATCGATAACATTGTAGGCTAGAGCACAATTTCGGACCATCCTAAACCATTAAACCTCTTTCAATGAACTGCTCCAGGGATTTTAGTCCAGGAACCCCGAAGGAACGAGGACAGATCTAGACAGTCCCTTGGTTGGGACCTCACTCACCTCGGAAAATGTCTGAAGCCACCTCTGATGACCCAGGTCGAAATATAAATATATCATGTCTATATGTATATCTTACCTTAATATTCACTTAGGTCAAATCAAATGTTTTTTATTTTTTTAATTTCTTTTTTGTCGAGACAAAAAACTTTTGTAGTTTTTTAGTAATGATTTAATTATCATATTTATATATTTTTAATCTAAATTGTCCAGTGCAGTTGAGCTTTACCATGTAAGATACACAAAAATGTGAAAAGCATAACGTATATAGTTTATTTTAAGATTTAATGCGTCTGTATAATATGTACATTTTAAAACAAATTGTTTTTTTATATATTCTATACTAAAACCACTAAGGGAAAATAATAAAACAGGTTTAGTATATGCTGAATAAAAACATAATGTTCTCTAAACCAATTTTACTTACTAAATATGTAAATGTTTATATAATGTGCATGTACATAATTATATATGTATATGCATGTATGAGTGTTTATGTATGAATCAATGTAAATACTGTACATAGCCTACAACAAGAACATGTGTTGTATGAAATGTATACTGGAAAAAGAGAATAAAGGGGGGTTGCTCCCACAAATGAGAGAGAGAGTAAAAAAAGAAAAACTAAATTATTATTATTATTATTATTATTATATATATATAATAATAATAATAATAATAATAATAATAATAATAATAATAATAATAATAATTAGGCCTATTATTATTTTATCTGCCAATAGGAGATATATATCAAGAGATTAAGCTTAAAAATGCACCTTTTTTAATAAAAATGATGAAAGACTGTAAACAACAGCAGTTTCAGAAGAAATTATTTTGAGCAAATAAACAACCTTCATCCACAACAGTAAAATATGGTGTTATAAGACAATTAGCAGCCTATTTATCCACTTATTTAATAGGTAATTGAAGGTAATTTAAACAAGTGGTTGTCCTATACTAAACACCTTCACATGAAGCATACTTAAAAATCAAATATAAAAGATTCAGCAATAAAATATTGGAATTGAATTGCAACACCAGTTAAAACAATTTACAAATCCAGAGGTGACGGAACTAGGGGTGCTGCGTTATGGAGAGTAACGTGTGACCGGAAATGGTCTGCAGTCAGTTGGTCTTTACGATGCGCCAGTAATGTAGGAGTACAGCAACTATTTATGTAATGCATATGAATAAAGTTCGGTGTTTGTCAGGTAGCGAATTGATTATTTTACATTTTAAGTGCTGCAGGTATTCCATGCATAAGTATAAGCTAAAGTACGGTGCGAAGATATTGAGACAATTATTTCGAAGTTCCCTCTTCCCAAGAGGGGATGCGGTACTCATTTTCACAAAGGAATACACGCAGCTGGTTAGCTAACAATATGCTTATGTTACATAAACACCTGGGAGGCATCCATCTGCAAATCAGTGGTGTTTATCCATGAAAAAAGCACGCCAGGAAAGTTTGTCTTACCAGGAAAACGTGATGTAATCTTATGACGTTTGCATATTAATTATATTGTGAGTTTCACGTCACCAAAAAATAAAAAAATTTCTATTATAACAATAATATTAATAACTACGAGGTCTGTGGCGTAAATTCCGTAATACGAATTAAGGGGTAGCACAATCCCCTTGCCATACAAATTACAGCTCCCACTGACGTCTCAGTCGCGAATTACGGGTAGCTGAAGTTTTTCTCGTAAATCTGACTACAAAAATATATCCAAATTTCACGTTCCACTTCTGACTTTGAGTTGTGCTTCGCACACGCAACTCAGGCGGCGTTCCGGAAACCCTGCATCTAGCAAACCACAACTTTTGTTTAGTGGACACCCTGCGGACCATTTTAAATTGGCGGATCCCAATTATGTTTCGCGGACCCCTAAGGGTTTTATGTACTGCATACTATTTTCAAAGCACCAGAAGCATTTTTACAACAGAAATAATGAAGTAACATAAAGTTCATGTAGGTGTTATAGTTTATGCACATTAGTAGAGCAAGCTGTAAATTCCCCCACTAGGTTCAGCGGAACTTAGTTTGGGATAGCTGTTAGCAAAACACTAAATAATTCTAAACAATGATGTAAAGTTAGTGACAACATCCATTCATTTTCTTTTTGTTTTTTCACTCCAAGTATATGCATCAGTTGTTTTGACATGTAGAAAGGCTTCTCTGGTGTTCCATCGTGTCGCTCTAAGTCTTCAAGGAAGCACAGAAACAATGTATCGATCGCCATATCGTACACGTCAAAGAAGCTCTCTTATACACATCTAGATGTGTATAAGAGACAGATGCTGAATAAACTGTAAACATAATGTTCTGTAAATGTGATTTATAGACCTATACTGCATGGCATCTAAACACCAAAAGATAAATTTAAAACACAAAGCGATAAATTTTGTGAAGCAATTGTCTGCATTTCTTACTTTGTCTTCAATATATTGTATGGTAAAACGAATAAGTTTGATGATGGATATGATCAGGGAGCCAAAGGCGATTGATCCAATATGATAACGAATGCTTCTCCAAAATGATCGAAGCAGAGGTAGGTGTTTGATGTCATCTGGTTTAGTAAATGCCCAATAGTAGCTTGCAAATGCTCCCGCTAGAGTAATTTGCCCAAGAGCACGTATGAAGTTTAAAATCCAAAATAGAGCCACTAGGTTGTATGCTTCCAACCAGTAGATGTAATTTGGGACGATGTTATAACCTATCAGAACACATTTAGCTGTTCCATTGAGTGAAACTGTGGGGTTACAACTTGCACCGTCTGTATACTCGTCGGTTGAATCCGAGTTAACTATCTGGTATGGTGGTTCCACAATGGATGCTATGAAGATTACGCTAAATGCCCAAAATGTTAGAAAGGCTAGCTGCATGATGAACGGGATGACAGGCCACAAGAGAGAAAAATGTAGTGATGAAACTGCTGTACTTGCTTCTTGGATTAAAGCAATTGCAATGCGAATACTCTTGATTAGTAATAACACAACTAGGATGAGAATTGCTAAGATTGTACTCATTATAATAGCTGATATATACCAGATTCTCTCCATTTTGAGGTAGCTCGCAAGCTGGTTATAATCCAACGAAGATCTATCTGAAGTACAATCAGATTCATGATTTTTTATGCAGTTCCGTTCATTCCAACAGAAGTAGGTTCCGTACCCTAAAAGTGCAAACACCCATACGATGCTACTCCAAACCATAATGGCTGCAATCCAGCGCATTAAAACAATGTAAAGCAGAGAAGCGAACATTGATATTGTAATACCAGCCACCATATACGGCCACGTTTCTATGAATTCCTCGACTGTGTTATTAAAACGTTCATAGCTTTGAAGAAGATTTAGCAGGTCATATGCGACAGCGCGATCTTCTTCGGTTATTTGTCGGTTATTTGGTGTGGTGTTCTTTTCTGATAACGTGTCAGAAACTAAGAATTTGGGATAACAGCGACTGGTAAACACATCACTTTTTGTGTAAAAGTTTGCACATTTATTGTCATTCAAAAGGTCCTTTATGGTGGCATCAGACTTATTTACTTCATCTTTTGCATTTAATCCATAGATACAAATGAAATCATTCCAATCGATGGAATTGACATCGACATTCGGATCATCTAATTTTTTGGAGTATCGAACTTCGATGGCATAGTTTTCCTTTGGGCATTCATCAACGCATACTTGCAGCGATGTGGTGCAGTCAAGTTTAGGAGGTTTTACCTCATTCAAACACACCAGGTAGTCAAAAAAGAATAGGTAGGGTTTGTCTACTACAGATTCTGACATCCCACATACTTGACCTAAGTAATCTGTTACTAATATATATATTTCCTTATTACCTCTCTGGAACCCAATGGCACTGACCACTCCGAGACCAACAATGAACAAAACGAACACAAAACAGCAAATAATATCTGTACAACTCCTGTTAGAAGTTGGTCCATCGAAAGTTGGGTCATATTTTTTGGATTCACCGTAATAATGTTCTTTAGGTTTATTGTCAGATGCATCGGTGTTAAGACGTTCTCCCATTTCGTATGTTTATAGCTGTCTCTTATACACATCTAGATGTGTATAAGAGACAGATATATTGTATGGTAAAACGAATCAGTTTGATGATGGATATGATCAGGGCAATGGCACTGACCACTCCGAGACCAACAATGAACAAAACGAACACAAAACAGCAAATAATATCTGTACAACTCCTGTTAGAAGTTGGTCCATCGAAAGTTGGGTCATATTTTTTGGATTCACCGTAATAATGTTCTTTAGGTTTATTGTCAGATGCATCGGTGTTAAGACGTTCTCCCATTTCGTATGTTTATAGTGAATAAAAAAACTGAGACAGTGTAGCTTCGCGGTACATATTGCACGACCTTTGATGTTTGGTGCTGTATTTGTTCAATAAAGTCGTTTTATATGTAATCTATTAGTGTTTGTGTTGTCTATGTTGGTCGTTGTGTTTCACAGAGACTCCCAGGTACAGAAGTCCATTCGCAGGAGATTTTGTCGGTCGATAACCTTTGGCCGTATGTCAAACAACGGGCGTCGCGTTCCAGCCAATGTGCAACTACTATATAATAGCAAAAACTTGATATTCAATGGTCAAACGAATACTTAAATTGCTCTTGCTTTTATTTCTATGCACAAAAAGTTACAAAACTTTAGAGGTGGTTTGGCTCAGAGGGAACGGTTTGTTTTCTGAACCATGAGGTCGGATTTTTAATTCCTCGCTGTGCATTTCGCTTGCGTCCTTAAGCTTCTCTACACACAGGTGTAAAAATTTGTACCTGGTGGGATTCCCTGCTACTCAAGAATATTTCAGCATGTGAAACCAATAATCAGGGAAAAACTTAAAAGAGAAGCGCTATACAAGCAACAACTAGGCTAAATAGTAACAAGTATAAACTACCTTTTCTCCCGATCGACTTTAACTTATGTGCGTATGAGTTTTTGAGAAACTTCGCCCATCTCTCGAGTCTGTTGTTCATATCGAAGGTAACTTGTTCTCCTATGTTCCCTGATCATTTGCAAGGTTTGCTTTCTCTAACTAAATCTAGCGTATAAATTATTATAAGGCATATTAGTGGTATGCATCTGACAGTCAGCGGACTCGAAAATTTGCAATATTAAAGGTAAAATTGGTGTAAAGTACTTGGGCAACATATGACAACGAATTCAAATCAGCAGCGAGATACACAAAAACAAAATTTCGCGCTATCATCCCAGGCAGTAGACCTCGCTGAGGTAGGGCTTCCGGTGGTTTGCATGCAACACTGCACCTCACTAGCATAAATAGATCATCATGATAACAGTTTCTGTGTGAACGGTTTTCTTTAAAGTGCTAAAGTTATCATGATAAACAGATCATGATAACTTTATCACGATATCTTAAGGCAGGCTCAGGTCGACACGGAACTCAACTCAACTCATCGACATGAGAACGCCAAAATGACAAATTACAAGTGGCGCAGTGCAAAAGTCAAGTGGCACAGTGCAAATCTAAAGTGGCACAGTGCAAAACTAAAGTGGTGCAGTGCAAAACGAAAGTGGCGCAGTGCAAATCCAAATGCGTGTGCTGCTACTTGAATTTTGCACTGTGCCACTTGACTTCTGCACTGCGCCACTTGACTTCTGCACTGCACCACTTGACTTTTGCACTGCGCCACTTGACTTTAGGCGATATTGTATGGAACGCCAATTTTGGCATCAAAATTAAAATAAATAAAATAAATGAATAAAAAAATCAAGAACACATAATTCAATTTTTCTTAATACTTTCACAGCAAAACAACAACAGCACAAAAATTTGGGACTAAAATACAAATAGGAACGTTATGATCATGGGCATACTTGTCGTAGATACCGTAGCCTAGGCTTATCTATTCTATTCATCGTCACTGCACCACTTTAGTTTTGCACTGCGCCACTTGACTTTTGCACTGCGACTGACTTTTGCACTGCGCCACTTGTAATTTGTGCTTTTGGCGTTCCATACTGAACACAACTGAACGGAACTGACCGCAACTGAAAGGAACTGACAGTCGCGCATATTTGTCGACATGAGTCAAGTTGAGTTGAGTTGAGTTCCTTTCAGTTGCCCATGTTCAACTTTTTGCGGAACTGAAAGGAACTGAAAAAAGCGCGGGAAAAAAATGCTGACTCGGAACTCAAAGGAACTGAAAACGTTGATCCTGATATTAATCGTAATCAAGATGCATTAACTGAAAAAAAGATATTTTATTACAATGTTTTGTTAATGGTAGATGACTTATTCTTTGTTTTAAAAAATATAGGCCATAGGCCAGGTTTATATTCTAAAGGAATACGTTCGTATTTATATATATACTGTGGTATTACAATTAAGATATTAAAACAAGACAGAGGGGAATTTTATCTATGGCTAAATATGGCAATCTAGAACAATTACTGTAGTATTGAACATAGTAGTAGTAGCCTAGACCTATTTTTCCGCGCGCGCCTCTAGTATTGAGACCAATTTTCAAAATCAAAATATTCTATTCAATGCCGCCTGCTAGCCTAGTAGAGCCTATTCTTCCAAAATGGTCGATTAGATGTAGACAAAGACAATGATTTTGACGACAATTTGATTAAACTATGGAAAGATCGCCCATGTGTATATGACACCAGTTCTAAGTCATATAGTGACAGAACAAAAAAACGACAGGCTTTAACAGAAATGTCAGAAGTTTTGGGGAAAACCAGTAAGTAATGCAATCAAGTAAATCTAACGGTTGTTGACGTGTCTAGACTAGCCCACAATTTTGCCGCGTCTTCTAATCTTAGGCTCTCTAATCTTATTCATAGGCCTACTCTAGGCCTAGCTTTAGTTTTTTTTTTAAATTTTAATTTGTAGTAGTCACGTGCCACCATAGTCCTAGGCGTATTATTAATTATTTATTAATTATTGGGTATTATAATATTCTTTTATGATAATAATAATAGCCCTTGCAATTATAAACAATACTTCTTTCTAGTACTAGGGCCTAGAGATCTAGGCCTAGGCTACACTAACACATTAACAAGGCCTAGGCTAGGCCTAATAATAAGGATAATAATAATAATAATAATAATAATAATAATAATAATAATAATAATAACAATAACAATAACAATAACAATAACAATAACAACAACAATAATAATAATAATAATAATAATAATAATAATAATAATAATAATAATAATAATAATAATAATAATAATAATAATAATAATAATACAGCATACTTCCTATGCCCAGCCTACACTGCATAAGTCTAACGACGAGTAAAGACTTGACCACTAACTAACTGGCATGCAGATTTCACTTTAAAATCCATTTTGGCGAATTATAAATAATCCAGTAATTCTTGGGAGTTTACATTGTTTTTGAAGATAGTTTCGTACAAATTTGTTAACAGCAGAACATATCCAGAGGTGACGGAACTAGGGGGTGCTGTGTTATGGAGAGTAATGTGTGACCGGAAATGGTCTGCAGTCAGTTGGTTGTTACCATGCGCCAGTGATGTTGGAGTATATAGTACAGCAATTTGAAACTATTAATGAATGAATAAAGTTCGGAGTTTGTCGGGTAGTGAAATGATTATTTCACAAGTGCTCCCTAAATTCACCGCTAAATTACGGTGATTAATTTAATTAGCGAAGATATGGAGACAATTATTTCGAATCCCTCTTTCCAAGAGGGGATGCAAATGCCTTGTGAAAATGAGTACGCCGCGGTACTCATTTTCACAAAGAAATACACACAACTTTTTAGCTAAGAATATG